TGAGCCTGAGAGGTAAATCCAGCCCCTCGTGGCTGACACCGCCGTCATTCGCAGAGCTGTCAGAAGCATCAATCACATTTTACCTTCCTAATAAGGTTTTAATAAAATTCCTGGGAATTCTGACATTTTGGCATGAGGCTGCCTGTTTTGCTGTAGGAGACTCCTCGTGGGAAGTCCTCAAGGACTTGTGTAAAGGACACTGATGTGGCAGCCTCGATCCAGCAAAGTACTTAAAGAGATGGGAACACTGAAATTATATATATCCTTAAATTAAGGCACTTCCCTGGGTAGAGGCAGAGCAATTATTCCCTCCCCACTGGAAAGACAAGGGGGTTGCATGTGCATTCCTGAGAAAAAATGCAGCCCTTCATTTACAGCCCTAATTAATTTATTGTAATTTACTATTTATTGTAATTTAGCTAATTTAATTTATTCTAAAAGTGTGAGCCTGGTCACATTTTATGCTACCGTCTCCATGATTATTAATAAACTCCAAACCCTCCCAAGTTTCCTTGGAGGAGAACTGATTCATCGCACGCAAACGTGGAGCCAGTGGATGTAAATCCAGGACTCAGGTCATCACCTTAATTATGTGTTGCTTCTATTTTGGTGTGCTCTTGTTTGCCCTCCTGAGCTTGGAGCTCCATAGAATAGTCCTTTCCATATAATAGTCCTTTTCACATCTTCATTATTGGCTGTAACATGCTTTATTCTCACCTACTTTCTGCACTTGGATCATTGATCTATTTAAGAGCTTCATTTTAATTTGACTGGGTGCTTGCTTGGGGCATTTATTCTTTCATCATAGTCTGTTCTTCTAAGGATTTACTAAAAGATTTGAACGTTAAGCCTCTTTATTTGGACTTGATTAAATAAGTATTTTCACAGGTCTTCATTTCAACGAGATTTCCCAAAGCTACCTTAATAATAAATGGAAATTAATTTTGGATTAGTCCTAGTGAGTTATATATATATATATTCTTTTGCCATGCATCAGCCTCCCCTAATGTAACCTTTGCTGTCATGGAGTGTTGTAGTCATTAATGGTAGTCACTAATGGTAGTCACTAATGGCCAGTGTCACAATCCAAGCACAAACCCAGGCTGGGAGGAGATTGGATGGGGAGCAGCCCTGAGGAGAAGGACTTGGGGGTGTTGGTGGGTGAGAAGCTCAACAGGAGCCATCAATGTGGGCTGGCAGCCCAGCAAGCCCCCTGCTCTGCTCTGGGGAGACCCCCCCAGAGATGCTGGGAGGGCTGGAGCCCCTCTGCTGGGAGGGGGGGCTGAGAGAGTTGGGGGGGGTCAGCCTGGAGAAGAGAAGGCTCCGGGGAGACCTTGGAGCCCCTTCCAGTCCCTCAAGAAGGGGGGCTCCAGGAAAGCTGGGGAGGGACTCTGGATGAGGGAGGGGAGCCACAGGAGAAGAAGGAATGGTTTTAAACTAAAAAAGGGTAGATTCAGGCGAGACATAATGAAGAAATTTTTTACTATGAGGGTGGTGAGAGCCTGGCCCAGGTTGCCCCGAGAAGCTGTGGCTGCCCCATCCCTGGAGGGGTTGAAGGGCAGGTTGGAGGGGGCTTGGAGCAACCTGGTGTGGTGGGAGGTGTCCCTGCCCAGGGCAGGGGGTGGCACTGGGGGGGCTTTAAGGTCCCTTCCAACTCTGACCTTTCTCTGATTCCATTTGGCAGGGGCTGGCTGCCCTTCATGGTGGGAGTCAGAGGAGGTGCCTTCCTGATGGGGAGGGGCAGGTTAAATAACTTCAAAGAATACATAAGATTTTTTTTACCCTGAACTAAGATTCTTTCACTTCTGGACTGACAATAAAACAACTTGACATTTGAAACAGGAAGCTCTGGTGGAAGGAAACCGTGTAAGGGCGCTCTGATCTAAGGGGGAAGCCACTGGAAAATGGAAATTGGAAGACACAGGCTGAATAATTATATTTTCTGTTCTTTTACACTGACTGAATCTATTTCCTTGCGAACAGGCTGTATTTGGGTCAGGAGGATGCCTCCCAACCTCGGGAGACAATGCCTCTCTTTTCTGTAAACCTTCTCTAGCTCCACTCCCAGGCTTTCAGCGCTCAGGAAACACGCTCCCAGGTCCCAGAACCCCCCGATACGCTGGTGAGCACGTCCTCCTCCTGGCAGTTCTTTATTGCTCTATCTCCAAAAGCTTAGGCCCGTGGTGCTTTCTGGAAGCCTGACTTCCCCACACTCCTTTCATCTGAGGATGCCCTATTTTTCCCCGCCACGAGCACAATGAAGCCTCAGTATTAGGGACCTTGGGGCTGCTCGCTCGGGCTCAGCGCAACGAGGGGAGAATAAACAAACTGGTCACTAGTGGTGTGCCTCAGGGCTCAGTGCTGGGACCATTTCTATTTAATGTCTTTATTGATGATCTCGATAAGGACATAGGGTGTATCATCAGCAAGTTGGCAGATGACACCAAGTTAAGCAGGAGTGGTGACTCCCAGGAGGATAGGGAAGCCCTACAGAGGGACCTAGATAGATTGGATCACTGGGCCAAGATCAACGGCATGAGTTTCAACAAGGGCAAGTGCCAGGTCCTGCACTTGGGCCACACCAACCCCCTGCAGCGCTACAGGCTGGGGGAAGTGTGGCTGGAGCTGCCTGGAGGAAAGAGACCTGGGGGTTCTCATTGACAAGCGGCTGAATATGAGCCGGCCGTGTGCCCAGGGGGGCAAGAAAGCCAATGGCATCCTGGCTTGTATCAAAAATAGTGTGACCAGCAGAAGTAGGGAGGTGATTGTGCCCCTGTACTCAGCCCTGGGGAGGCCACACCTGGAGTATTGTGTCCAGTTTTGGGCACCTCAAT